CTCTGGGTGTGTTCTTGTTCATCTGTCTATGACATAGACTGTGTTTCCCAAACTTTTGACATATGTGTACCCCTTCGATAATTTTTTTAACACTGAGTACCCCTCGTACTCATGAGAACGTAGAATTAGGCGCAGCTAAGCACGGTGCAGTGCATATCCCCACCAAACTCCGGTGCAACGCATACCCCCACCAAACTCTTCCCGTACCCCACACTTGGGGAAACATTGGTCTATGTTGTTCATCATTTCCCCTAGATGAGTGAGATCATGTCCTACTGGAAATATACTTATAAGAATCAAAAATGAGACAAGCAATAATCGTTATGCTGAAAGGCATATGAATCAGCCTGTATGAGCTTCTTTCTGGGCCACCAGTTCTTTTGAGACCCAATTTCAATGTCAAACAGTTCCTTATGTGTACATGTCAGCAATGATATTTCAGTTCTGGATGGTGGGTAAATGGTGGTAATGCAGTCCAACCCTCTCTGGTTTGGTCCTGGGCAACCTGCAGTGATACACAGCTGCTGACTGCTATTATGGCAAGGCGTCATCAGCGACTTCCATCTCTGGACTGCTTCTCTTCTGTCTTCATGGTTGTCCTGTCAATTCCTCTCTGTTGCCAGAATCCACTTGGTCCTGGGGTTGTTTTCTGAAAATATACGAACATATTCTCAACCAAAAGTTAATACAGGAATATTTTCTATTTGACTTGGGATCCTTTTTAATTTTTTGCCCAAATGATTTTCCTCTGGCTTGTTTGTTGATACCATATATGTTTTTCATGGGTGTCTTGCTGATAGCATTACAATTAATTTTCTAAAGTAAAAATTTTCTAGATGTAATTTACTTTCAGGATATTTTCCCTTACATGATATTCCTAAGGCAAATTTTCTAGATGTAATTTACTTTCAGGATATTTTTCCTTACATGATATTCCTACTTTCCCCCTTTTTTGATTTAAATATTAGGAGGCTTTTGAAAATTTTATAATGTAGTCTTGATAACTTTGAAATTTTAATTTTTTGCACTATAATATGACTGCTTTAGGTGCATTTCCTGTTGTGAGATTTTATTCTGAGATGAACTACCAATAAAAATTTTAGTTAACATTATAGGAATAACTTTTTGTCAAGTACAATTCGTTTTTCTAGGATATTCACTTATTTCAATTAGCCAATTTAAATTAGCCTGAAAACTTGACTACTATTTTACTCTGAAATTTATTATCAAATTTACTGTCAAATTTATTTAAAAAAAAAAACCAAACACACACACACACACACACACACACACACACACAATCTTTTTACCATGTAAATATTAGGGGAATGGATTATTTGCCTTCCTGAGTAGGCCCTGAGCATTCCTGGTGGTAGGCTGGATTTAGATATCAAAAACCCACTTCCCCACACCATGTTTACAAGACAACTCAAACAAGTCTTGTTGTAGTGCAAGGGCAGCTGCTGTCAGTCAAGTCTCTGTCTTTTACCCAGGTCCTGATTTGAGCTGGGCATGGGAAGTTAAGCAGCCATGGGGGCAGGAGACTCCCTCAGCAGGGGTGAAGTTTCAGGCCCCTGCAAAGTTGGGGGGTGAGGGTCTGTGCCCCACCTCTGTTGACCCCCAAGTTCTCTCCTAATGGCCCCTCTGTGACTGTGTCTGTCTTAGATTGTTCCTTCCCTGAGGAATCTTACCTGTCACTGGCTAACCAGCCATCTTCTGGGGCCAAACAGGGTGATGTTAGGTTCAGTTCTGTCTCCTTGGTATCCTATGCCCCTGTGGCCTCCACGTCCAGCTCTTGCCTTAGGATTCCCAAGCCTGTTGGCAGGGCCCCAGCACTGATCACATATCTTGGGGAACCCAGGTATCTTCTCCAGAGAGAGCCCAGCTCACCCCACTGGGTGAAAGATAGATCCATGGTACCAGTCATTACAAGGCTTCAACCTCGACATGAACAGAAAGCTCAGGCAGCAGCTGTGGGCAATTGGATTGTGGGAAGAAGGCCCTTCTTGGACAAAAGAGCAAGAGGGGCCAATATAGGAAGCTCAGGTGACTTCCCAGGAGGCCCTTTACACAATGGAAGGGATTAAATCCTTCCATGTCATTTTTTAAATTGCTTCCAGACATTCAAAGAATTTGGTTTGTAAGTTTGCTTGGGATAATTGTATATTTTTAGATAATTGGTATAATTTTAGAATATTAAGAGATGTGTTACTTTTGTCTCCAAGCACCAAAAAGATGATTTTTTATTGATCCCCAAGGGTTTGAGGTACTATTATAAGTAATTGGGGTAACACAAATCTGGGGAAAATTCTAATGACATTGTAGAATAATATCACGTAAGGATATTCTTTGTTCTAGGCCATGGCAATTCCATTTCATACTGGCTGTCTTTTTCTTTTTCTATGGACCAGATCTTAGTTACATTTTCTGGACCTCTCCAAGGGGCTAGTAGTGATAGTAGTGACACCCTTTCTTTGGTGTCCACACAGGCCAGAAACCTCTCTTTAATTTTACACACAAAGGGGCAGTGTTTTGATTTTGTGTCATACAAAAGGGAAGCTGGGTGGAGACCCCTGTGTAATTACGCTTTCTTGGGCCTCCCATGGTCCTCCTGGATGACCAAGGTGTTTGGTATTATTGGTGACTACATTAGGTGGGGGATCAGCCCATGTAAGGGGTCTTAACTGTGAAGTGTCAGGAGCATAAGTCCAAAATACTTCCCCATTTGCCCCAGGTAATATTACTGTACATCTGATGATTGCTAGTACAGCTAGAAAGGAGTTCTCAGGCATTCTTGAGTTTTTGGTTACCCCATAATTTCTTCCCTGAGGTTTTTTGTTCTGATTGGTGTTTCTCTGTCTCTGGAGATATATATATATATATATATATATATATATATATATATATATATATATAATTTCCCCACCCCCCAATCAGTTTATGTTGTTCATTATATTCCACAAATGAGTGAGATCATGTGATATTTATTTTTCTCTGTCTGGCTTATTTCACTAAGCATAAAGTTCTCCATCTCCATCCATGTAGTTGCAAATGGTAAGAGCTCTTTCTTTTTACCACAGTGTAGTATTCCATTGTGTAGATGTACCACAGTTTTTTAATCCACTCATCTGCTGATGGGCACTTAGGCTGTTTCAAAATCTTAGCTATGGTGAATTGTGCTGCTATGAACATAGAAGTGCATATATCCTTTTTGATTAATGTTTCCATTTTCTTGGGATATATTCCTAGAAGTGAGATCACTGGGTCAAATGGAATTCCATTTTTAGTTTTTTGAGGAAACTCCATACTGTTCCCCACAGTGGTTGCACCAGTCTGCATTCCCACCAGCAGTGCACGAGGGTTCCTTTTTCTCCGCATCCTCGCCAGCACTTGTCATTTGTTGACTTGTGAATAATAGCCATTATGACAGGTGTGAGATGGTACCACATTGTTGTTTTGATTTGCATCTCTCTATTGGTGCCATATTTTAAAGAATCCTTGATTAAACACTAATTATTTTAAACACTAAATCCTTGATTACAATAACAACTCAGGGTTTGTCCACAAATATTAGAAAGTAAACTAATTAGCAGTGTTTTAGACCTTTCTGGTACCTAAGCACCATATCAGATAAACACGTCCATTCATATCTCTTGAGATAAGTTGAGAGCTGTTTATTTTGGATTCTCCTCTTTCTTAATTGGCTTAAGAAAGTTCCAAATCTGTAGCTAAGACTTTGCAGGAACAGAAATATTCCTAAATTCCCTAGTCCTAGAAAATAATCACAGTAGTAAATAGGACAAGTCTATTTAAAACAAGATTTTAGGGAACAAGAAGATTTCTGTTGTTTGTTTTAAAAGCGTGATCCTTGTGAGAGAGTAGGTCTCTGGGTGCGGGTGAGTGGTAAACAGTGCCCTGGGACTGTTTCCTTTTTCCTACCAGGACGTTGCTGTCAGTTATGCGACAAGGAAAGCATTTTTTTTTTTTTTTTTTTTTTGCTAAGGATTTGAGGCTCCAATAAGTTGTTTAAAGCCAGATTTTATTTTATTTTTTTCACTCGGAAGAGTTTTTCTGGCTACTTCAATAGCTGTTAGGAGGCTGCCCGAGCTCTGTTCTGGAGACCCTCACTACAATCACTTGCTATCACTTAAGAAAAACATGACCTTCACTCCTGTTGCAATCTCATGGCAAGAACTGGGTCATTGCGGAATTTATTTAGAGTACCTTAAAAAGCAGCTGCCTTCGGACAATGAGAATCCAAGCTACACATTTGGCAGCTTGGACCACTTTTTTGTTTTTGTTTTGTTTTTTGTTTTTTGTTTTGCAAGGAATCTCCACTAGGTCGCTTGCGTCCGTCAGCACCACCCTCAGGACAAAAGGTGCTGGGGGGGTGGGACGGGTGGGGCAGGGAGGAGGAGTGCAAGGTTGAGGGCAAAGGGCTGCAGCGAGAGGCGGCTCTTTCTGTGGCTCTTTGACAGGTTACCTGGTTTCAACACCAAACCAGTCTTTTTTTTCCCAAGCCTCCCGCGAACCTCTGGCCCGAGGTCACACACACCGCCCGGGTCTGTCGCAGGAACTAGCAGCGAGGCAGCCCGCTTCCTCCGGAGCCCGGACCCGGACATTTCGCCCGAGGGGGACAAGCACCACGTGGAGACTCAGACTCTGCAAAGCGCCGCCCGAACCGGGAAGCCCAGACCCGGGGCGACGCTGCAGGCAACGCCTCCGCTGCCAACCAATGGGGAGCGGGGGCCGCGTCGGGGCTTTCGCCCATTGGGTGGCGCTGGCTCCGCCCCCCGGGCAGTGCAAACCCTCCTCGGCCACTTAGGTCTCCGCCGCCGAGGAGTGGCCCAGACGGGCTTTTGTGTGCGGGCAGCTGGCCACCGGCTTCCCATCGGCTCCCTTCCGCCTGGTGCTCCTAGGGCTCGCTCAGGCTCTCACGCCCCGGCTTCCTAGTTCTGTCTCCCTCGCTCTTTCCCTCTCTCCGTCCTTCGCAGCTCGCCATGCAGAAGAAAGACGTCGCCCCGCACGGCTTCCTGCCTCCCTTCCAGCATTTCGCCACGCAGGCCATCCATGTGGGCCAGGAACCGGAGCAGTGGAGCTCCCGGGCGGTGGTGACCCCCATCTCCATGTCCACCACGTTCAAGCAGGGGGCTCCCGGCAAGCACTCGGTGAGCTGGGTCTGGCTGGGGCAGTCCAGGGTAGGGCGGGAAAAGAGAGGTGGCTGACACGTTTAGAAGGCACCCAGGTAATGTGTGAAATGATGCACACATCAGCAAGGCAGCCGGGAAGGATGTTTGCTGCACCTGCAATCCTCCCTTGCGATAAAGGTTTGTATGGGATGGTCCAGGGATCGTATTTCTTTTGATAAGCAAGACGAGAAGGAACCGTTTGTCCCACTTGCCATCTCGATTTGGCCTTAAATCCATGGGATTCTGGTAAATGTGCAGTTCAGTACTGAGGATCATAACTTCCTGGAGTTACTTTTCGCAGCAACAATTATAAAGATATCATGAGTCGGCTAAAAAAAGTTTTTAAGGGTTTTACCACACTCAGAATCAAGATCATTTCCAGGAACTGTATTCAATTGTTAATCGTTATTGAGTACTTACTCTTTGCTAGATGCATAATTACATGTGTTAGGTGTTTTACATGTATTGTTTCAGGTAATTCTGACAACTGCCGTAGCCTGAACTAAGTTTCTCATTAAAACAACAATAACAACCACCTGAGATTTAGGGACAAATAACTAGTCCAAGGCCACAGGGTTAATAAGTTGTGGAGCTGGAATTCCAGCCCTGTACTGGAACCCCACTTTTAGGCATTCTGCTACATTGTGCTCTACTCCAATAATGCTAGCAATAATGTAACTCATTGCATCATTTCAGCAGTGTGGTTTAGTGATTAAAAGCATAAATCATGTTGTCAGAGGAGCTAGGTTTGGATTCTGACACCACCTCTTCTGACCTGGGTGACCTTGAGCAAGGTTACTTAACATGTTCAAGCCTCAGGTTGATTCTGTGTAAGTGGATTAATAGTACCTACCACATAAGTTATTGATATGTAGGTTAAGCCATATGGTACATTATAATTGCTCAGTAGTTTGGTGTTTTATGATGCGCTTTTTCATTGGATCCTCAAAATAATCAGATCAGAGTGCAGGACAGATTATTATTCACTTTTTGGAGAAAAGGAACTGACCCAGAGGCATTGGTAAGTGACATATAAGGTTTAGGAGAGCACCCTCTTTATTAACCACATAGCCTTTTCCCTTTTGGTAGAATTCTTGATGGGTCTTGGAGTACTTAAAAGTTTCTGAGGTTCAGAAAAAAGTTAGTTAAATGAACTTGGTAGGTCCTAAACCTTGAATAAAATTCAAAAACCTCTTTACTGTGGTATGCTATAGTAAGTTGAAGAAAATTCTTTTAGATTTAACCCTTTGTTTTGCCAGGAAGAATCCTAAGGACATTTCTACAATTGGCTTAGGAGACTTCTAGCTGCTGTGTTTTGGAATCAGGTTGTGCATACAACCTGTCTCCCAGCATGTGGTTTATGCTGATGCAGAGTTTTTGTGAATGTGTGGCCGCCAGAGCTTCTTCACAAAAGTTAACCATGTAGCTATGATAGTAATAATTTAAATGTTTTCAGAGAGCCAGCAGGGATGGTAAAATCCACAAACTCCACTTTATACGTTTAAAAAAATCAGTGAAGGGCCTACAGAGAATTTGAGGGGCTGAATGAGAAGCATCTAATTCTTCAGTTCCATTTGGAAAGCTATTGAATAGGCGAGGGGGTAGGAAATGCTTCGAAAATAGGCTTCTCTCCATCCCCTCAAAGTTAAATCTCTGCAGCAGTGAATATGGAAACATGGGCTTCCCGTGGCAATTGCCACATGAAAACAAACAGGGTTTTTTTTTTTTCTTTTTGTCTGGTAAGTACAGCTGCAGGTCACATCAATTAGGTGCTGCTGGGAAGAGATGAGAGTAGCTGGAGTCCTATAAAATATGTCTATACCGTTTGTCAAAAACAAGGAAACAAAGCAACGAAACAAATGAAAATATATACTTATAGCCAATACTGGGAGCTCGTGAATCAGAAACAAAGGTGTAAAGAGTGGTTGTCTTTTGTTTTGTGCTACAGGAGGAGGGTTTTGGGGGGGAGGGGCTGGTAGGAAATTATAGGACTTTCATTTAAATCCCGGGTTTGAATTCTGGCTGTGACACTCCCTATAATATTTGGCTTTACTTTCCTCAAAGCAGAGCACAGGATTAAATAAAATGACTGGATGAACACATTCAGAATGGTGCCATACACATGAAATAATACAAAATTTTAAAATGGTATTGTCTGGAGCTGCTTTGCCAAGAATGACTCTCCCTTTTTTTTAATTTAATACATTTTATTGATTTTTTTACAGAGAGGAAGAGAGAGGGATAGAAAATTAGAAACATTGATGAGAGAGAAACATCGATCAGCTGTTTCCCCCCTCCCCCCACCAGGGATGTGCCGGCAAGCCAGGTACATGCCCTTGACCGGAATCAAACCCGGGACCCTTCAGTCTGCAGGCAGATGCTCTATCCACTGAGCCAAACGGGTTTGGCATGACTCTCTCTTTTTTGAATCACTTTTGTAGAGCCAGGATATGATCCTTGAACATTTGTAGAATCTGTTCATAGCTTCCTGTTGGAAGCTAAACAGAACTTGCATCATTCTCTTCTTAGGAAATGAAATACATGTTAGAATTAGGTTTCCTCTTAGCGTAGGTGATTCCCTTTTCTTGATGTCCCTAGGTTAATGGGCAAAAATAAGTCTAACATAATAATAATAATGCTAATAATATAATCAGTTTTCTAGATTTGGAATGGAAAGGACTTATATATTATCTCATTTTATCATTACAACAATTTCATGAACTAGATGCCTATAGTTTATTCCCATTTATGGATATTGAGATCGACTGTGGGGAATGCTAAATAATTTGGCTGTTGGCATGTAGCTCATAAGTGGTAGGTACAGAATTCTAATCCAGTTTCGCTGACTTCAGAGCCTTTCGGTACCACTACATTGTTACCCCCTTTATGGCAAGACATGCCATAAACAAATAAAACTTTATTACAGTAGGAGGAATTCATAGATGTGGAGTTGTCCAGTTATGACTGTAATAATGAACTTAGATTTCTGACTTCTTTTCTTCAGGGTTTTGAATATAGCCGTTCTGGCAACCCCACCAGGAATTGCTTGGAAAAAGCAGTGGCAGCCTTGGATGGGGCCAAGTACAGTAAGTGATTTCCCATCCCAAGTTTGTGAAGTCTGGAATGTATTCTCGCATGCACAGAGAAGATCACAGAAGCATAGAATGCAGAACTGGAATGAAATAAGGATTAGCTAGTTCAACACTGTTATTTTACTAAAACATTGAATTTTTTACCAGTTCCACAGCTGGTAAACTGTGCATATATATGATTATTAGGTAAGAATAAACATGAATCGAGACAAAATGGCAGAATTTTCCATTTGGTATTCATGTAGATTCTCTTTATCTGAAGCTGTCAATATAAATAGGTAAAAATTAACTAAGTTTTATAAGACTCCCTAAGAGAATATAAGCTTTCTTATATTCTGGTTCATTCACCTGATTGTCAGTGCCTGAGAATAGCAGCATTTGCACTAGCAGGTACCATTGATAATGTGTTCTCAGAGATTAGAAATTAGCTCTTGAATCTTATGTTTATTTTCATAAGGGAGTGGATTACTAGTAAATATCTTTGTAATATTTATGCAAATGATGCTACATGAGGGGAAAATAGTGAATAAATACAAAAGTCTTAAGCGTAGCCAAAACCAGTTTGGCTCAGTGGACAGAGCATTGGCCTGTGGACTGAAAAGTCCCAGGGTCGATTCCAGTCAAGGGCAGGTACCTTGGTTGCAGACACATCCCCAGAGGCAGCTGATCGATGTTTCTCTCTCATCGATGTTTCTAACTCTCTGTCCCTCTCTTTTCCTCTCTGTAAAAAATCAATAATATATACATATATTTTTAAAAAAAGTCATAAGCGTTTTCTCACAGCAGGAGTGTAGGAATGAGAAAGAATAATGTGAATTATTGGGTTTGTTTGGGATTTGGGAGAGGGGGATGGTTTTATTTTGGATGAAATTAAACATAAAACTGCTGAAATTTGGTACTGTGTGAGGAGCATTATTTTCTGCAGGAGGTATAAAGACCGAATGTTTATGTCAAACACTTTTCAAGTGGGATCCAGAAAACATGGTTGTTTTTAATTGCACTTTGAAGTTTAGCCATCTATGTGAATTGTTGCAGTAGAAAACTGCAATCCTAACCTACACTTTTCTGAGGAGATTTATTTTATTTTATTTTTTGAAAAATTAATTGGATTGTCCCTTCTACCGGTCACAGGTGATTTTTTTTTTTTTTTTTTTTTATCATCAAGATGATTTATTGGTATTTTGTCAGGATATTTTCTTTTATAGTGTTAAATGTGCACAATGCCAGTTATTTTTTTATTTTATTATGTTTGTTCAACATATTTGTCTAAGAGAGATTTACATTTAAAAAAAATTAAAGTACATTTTATTAAATTTATCAGACAGGTCTCAGGTGTGATTTTGAGTTTTGTTAAACTTACCAGTTATACTAGTACCGTGGTCGGCAAACTGCGGCTCGAGAGCCATAAGCAGCTCTTTGGCCTCTTGAGTGTGGCTCTTCCATAAAATACCACGGCCTGGGCGAGTCTATTTTGAAGAAGTGGCATTAGAAGAAGTTTAAGTTTAAAAAATTTGGCTCTCAAAAGACATGTCAGTCGTTGTACTGTTGATATTTGGCTCAGTTGACTAATGAGTTTGCAGACCACTGTGTATATCTCTGTAGTTAATGAGTCATAGCTTAGCTCTATTCCTCAAGTTTGAAATTTCTTTAGAGCCTGATATTTTCAAACTGTAATTTAATTGGCAATTGGCCTTTTATTTCAGAATTCTATAAAAAAAAATTACTTCCTTGAAGTGTATCGGAGAAATGTTATCTACTTAAAGCAGATTTATATATTTTTAATTACATAGATATTTTATCTTTGAAATTAAAAGGGGTATTCTGTAATGATATTCGTCATGGGACTTCTAGAGACTCAGTGGTAATAACTGTCTTATCAGCAGAGAGGGACATGAAGTTAATAATGTAGGTGTTTTTAACCTATTGGTCTGACTTTTTGGTTTACTCTAACTTGGTTTTTATTTTAGGTTTGGCCTTTGCTTCAGGTTTAGCAGCCACTATGACTATTACCCATCTCTTAAAATCAGGAGACCAAATTATTTGTATGGATGATGTATATGGAGGTAGGTGATCTCTTGCATTCGTGTTGTGTCAACTGGTATTTAAAGATAATAGTGGGTCCTGAATTATATTAACAGCGTTGCCATGATTGGTTCACTTACTTTAGATTTGAGTACTAGGAAGAAATTGTCTAAAAAGACACTGATGTTTTGGAGAGCATGCTCATTAATGTTTGAAGAATAGAGGTTGTATTTTTTGAGAAATATTTTCTACTTTATTCCACTTGGTGTGGATACCAAGTATGTTTCATTTGACTCTCTAGCTTAAAAAAAAAAAAAAAAAAAAAAAAAAAATCCAAGCCTTACATTCTTTACAATACACAATAGCCAAATTGTTTAACCAAAGTAGAGTTGCTGTTAGTTGTATTGTTCTTGGCAATTGATGCTTCCTTATGTTTTTAAATTGATTATACAGATAAGGAATAACATTTCTAATACAATGTCCTTTTTATTTTATCTGATTCTCTTCTGCTTCAGGTACAAACCGGTACTTCAGGCGGGTAGCATCTGAATTTGGATTAAAGATTTCTTTTGTTGATTGCTCCAAAATTAAATTACTAGAGGAGGCCATTACCCCAGAAACCAAGGTAATTCAGTTTTGTTTGGCTTGATGTTTTGTTTTCATCATTTTTTGTTTATGAGGGAACATAGATCTGAATAACAAATTTTATTAGAAACTTTTGGAAGCGATCAACAAGAATAAGATAGGTCTGGTATCTCCTAGGTATTACAGCATAATGATTAGGTACGTAAATTATGAAATGGGATCCAAATTCTGATTCTGTATCATAGTTGTTATATTATTTAACTAAATTATTTAACTAAAGTCTCAATTTCTTCATTTGCAAAATGGGGATAATTGTACCTGCTTTATAGAAAGTTTGTTCCGTGAATTAAATGAGATAAGGCTTATGAAACGCTTAGCACAATTCCCAGAACATGATAAGTATTACAAAATTTGTTAGCAAAACCACACAATTGTTAACTGCAGTACTAAGCTAGTATTGGTAACAGAAGTCATCACAGAAATTGGATTACAGAAAAGGAAGCTTGTCAAGCCTCTCCAAGTTCTAAGCAGAGTGGCTTTTTAGGGGTTTTAAGGGATACTTGGCAATAATAGAAGTAGAGAATGGGCCACTAGCAATCTTTTGCCTCCATCCTGGGAAGCTTGTATGCCACCGGAAGGTGTTTTGTGCTGAAGTGAATGGCATATGTGTTATTCTTTCTTGGTACCTCATTTAAATTCTGCATGGGTAAAAGAAGGACCAGTGTCTTTTATAAGTCAACCCTTTCCAACTTTTTGTTACTGATTAAAAGGTTTGAATTGTACCCAAGGTTATGTTGCAGTGAATGCTAAAAAATGAAACTATGTTCTCACACAAATACTTTGAAGATAACACCAGGGTGAACTTTGAGTGATTAAGGTTTATTTTCAAAGGAATTTTTTTTTTTTTAATCTTGCTTGAGAGAAAAGATACTTATTAAAATAGCTAGTCTGAGTCTTTCTAAGGAAAGACAGCAAATTGTGAGTATATTAATTCTTGTCAATGTAACTTTATGTATTATCTCTTTACTGACTTGAATCAATACATTTCCCCCTACCCCCCAAAAATATTTGCCTTATCATTTGAAGTAGGTTTTTTTTGCAGGTAAACCTACTTTTTATTTATTTACTTATTTTTACTTTCATTTTTATAATGAGTGGAATAATAAATTCTAACTATGGAATAATTTTTATAGATTCTTAAAATCAATTCTCATAAAATATACATTACTTAATTACCTTATCTTATGATAGAACTCAAGAGTTTTTATCCATTTATATAAGTAATAAAAAAATAAATGTTAACTCTTAAAAAGAAATCAATAGATAATGTCATTCAAAACAGCGGCACCTTGTTTAACAAATAGAATTCTCTTCTTTGGTCTTAAATAACTATGTACCTGGCCGAAACCGGTTTAGCTCAATGGATAGAGCGTCGGCTTGGGGACTGAAGGGACCCGGGTTCGATTCCGGTCGAGGGCATGTACCTTGGTTGCGGGCATATCCCCAGTAGGGGGTGTGCAAGAGGCAACTGACCGATGACTCTCTCTCATCGATGTTTCTAACTCTCTATCTCTCTCCCTTCCTCTCTGTACAAAATCAATAAAATATATTTTAAAAAAAATAACTATGTACCTGAATTGTACTAGATTTTGGAACATACAGATATGTATATGATATGGTCTCTTTCTTAAGTGAACTTGTCAGAGCTGTGTGGTCCCCACAGAGCTGTAGCCAGGTTTTCTGTGTTTTTGTTTTTATTTTTTTAATATATTTTATTGATTTTTTTACAGAGAGGAAGGGCGAGAGATAAGAGTCAGAAAAATTGATGAGAGAGACTTATTGATCAGCTGCCTCTTGCACGCCCTCCACTGGGGATGTGCCCGCAACCAAGGTACATGCCCTTGATGGGAATCGAACCTGGGACCCTTCAGTCTGCAGACCAATGCTCTATCCACTGAGCCAAACCGGTTTCAGCTGTTTTTTTTTTTTTGGTGTGTGTGTGTGTGTGTGTGTGTGTGTGTTGCTTTCTTCTCTCTCTAAAATCCTCTTCAAGTCCTGGGTTCTTAATTTATAATTTCTAGTGTATCTGGAATTACTGACATTAAGGATTTTTTTTTTATCATAGAGCTAGTTCTCTTTAATGAAAATTCTAGTATGTAACTTTAGACAATCTATGTTATCCCTAAGAACAAAATTTCCAGACACTGAATTATAATATGTCTTTAAAAAATTTCTCTCTCTTTTTTTTTTTTAATAATTACAATAATTTCGTGGAGTACTTTTCTGCTTATATGTAAATTATCTCATTTGATTCTTACAACAACTCTTATCAGGTAAATATTACGAGACCCATGATACAGATGAAGAATTTGAGGAGTACAAAGAGTAAGTTAGCTATGACCTCTCAGAAATTTGTGAGGGCTAGGATTCAGATTTGAACCTTTCAACTTCATCATCCAGTCTCTTCTGATATAGCCTCCCAGATGGTTAAAACATATGGGATGTATTTTCTGTACAGTGTTTTTGATAAACTACTGTCATTTACTGAATTGTTTTAGCTGGTTTGGATTGAAACCCCCACAAACCCTAGCTTGAAGATGATTGACATTGAAGCCTGTGCACATACTGTCCATAAACATGGAGACATCATTTTGGTCGTGGATAACACTTTTATGTCGGCATATTTCCAGGTAAATGCAAATAAAATGTGTTGGTTTGATTAGTGGACTAGAAGGACACCTGTAATTGGGTTGAAAAGATATTAACTAATGGTAGAAAAGGCCCAACTATAATAATTTGTCTAATCCATAACGATGACTAGATTTTATGAGTTTGAAAATTATTTTAATGTACACAAGGCCTTTCTTTCCTCAGGTTAATACCTTGTATGTGAGACTTTGTGTGTTTTAAATGTTGTCTTAATTAGCTTTTAAGTTTTTATAGGATGTGTAAACTCTCCAAAGATGTAACCTTATTTTATGATTGTATCTGTCAGGGCCTTGCACATAGTAGGGACTTGCATGTTTATGTGCTGCTTACAAGTTGGTAACATTATTTCTCAGTTGTCCCTAATACGTTTTTATTTGACCAGCCTTCCAAATAAAAGGAAAAGAAAAGCTGTTCTCGGTGACATCTCGATGAATGTCACGTATTAGTTCTTCGTTTCTCTTCCTTCCTCCTAGCTTCTCTTCCCTTAGCACCCATAGATTATGCATAACCCTTTATATCTTAACCTTATTTGTATTATGAATTTCTACTTAGTTTCACATTGTAGCTGTAAATACTCAAAGTGCTCCTTTTAAACCATCTTTTTTTCCTATCTATCCATCCCTCTACATACATCTCCATGTCCATACTTTCCCATTTATTCTTCATTTCTTTGCTTTTTATCTCCTTTTTTTTTTTTCTTTCCAGATTTATTTTTCCTGTTTCATTTGGCTCCCTTTGGTAGATGATCTTGGGATTTCTGTAATTGAGTAGTTGTTTGCCCCTGACCCCCACTCCTTTTTCCCTCTCTTTTCTTTAGTAACCTAGTAACTAGTAATCTAGTAACTCCTTCTTAGGAGTTACCTTCTCCCTGCTCTTTCTTTTCTGCCTGCACCCTGTAGTCCATTCTTATTACACTTCTGTAGTGCTCCTTTATTGTGCAGAGCTCCAGAAACCCCAGCTCCGTTTCTTCAGCCTTCAAATTAGGCACGTGTTTACAAACTCAGTTGTTCCCATTTCCCCCCTTCTATTCTGGGCCCCTGAAGTTGGGCCAAGCTTCTGCCTTCATGTGACTGGCTGACTCTCTGGAAATTTGCATAAGCCTGTTCACCACTATCCCTCATTTTATTCAGAAAGCATTACAATGTTTTTATTTTCCTTTCCTGAAACACTCTTCCCAGCTAAACGGCATTCAGATAGCTTCATGGGCCCCTTACCTTCATGATATATGATGGTCCCTCAGCATCCAAAAGATTGGTCCCAAGAACCCCTGTAGATAACAAAATCTTATGAAACACTTACGAAATGTTATGAAGCTAAAGCTCTTTATATAAAATGGCATAGTAGTTGTATATAACCCATGCATTTCCTCTTGTGTACTTCAAGTCATCTCTGGGCCACTTGTAATACCTAATAATACTCTGTAAATCAACGAGGCATACAGCCCGCCGGCCGCCAGTTTGACATGCTTGCTGTAAATGCTATATAAGTAGTTGTTATACTGTTTTGCTTGGTGAATAATGACAAGGAAAAAAAGGCTAGCATGTTCAATGCAGACACAGTCATTTTCGGCCTAATTACATAGTACCAGAGGCAGCGATGGTATAACTTTTTTTTCAAATGTTTTACATCCATGGTTTGTTGAATCCATGGATACAGATGACAGATATAGAGGGCTAACTGTATCTTTAGTTGTTTCCTTTAACATCTCATAACAGAAAACCTAGTAAGGCAGTCTGTTTCGAAGTGAAAATCTCCTGGCATTATCTATTTGTCACAGGTGATTTTCTTTCCTTTTTTTTTTTTTTTTTAAATATATATATATATATATATATATATATATATATATATATATATATATATATATTGAATTCAGAGAGAAGAAAGAAGAGGGAGAGATAGAAACATCAATGATGAGATAGAATCATGGATCGGCTGCCTCCTATACGCCCCCTACAGGGGATCGATCCCACAACTCTGGGCATGTGCCCTTGACCAGTAATCGAACCCGGGACCCTTGAGTTCACAGGCCGATGCTCTATCCACTGAGCCAAACCGGTGAGGGCATCCCAGGTGATTTTCATTCTTAGATTCTTTATCCTAATTCCTTACTCATCTGTCACTTACACTAGTCCAGTTAATACAGCTACGAGTGATCTGGCTGAGTCACAGTGAGTCCTGCATACGTATTCCGAGAGAGGTGGCGTGAATTGTTTTAGCCTGGGCCTGTCCAGGTTACTCATCAGGCTTCGCCCTCTCCTATTAACGTCACTAATATAATCCAGTTTCTCTGCCTTCCTGAAGCCCATGTCACATTGCTCATGTCAGGGATGAAATGCTTCATTTCAATCTGGATGCATTCCAGTTGAATTCATCAATCTCAGTGTTCCTAGGCAACCACGAATATTGATTCCACAAAGCAAATCCTCTGAAAAGACCCTCTCATTGTTTTATCCTCATGAAGACTGAATACATTCTCTTTCTTGCCTGCCTTTTGTCTTCTGGATCTTCTGTAAGTCTCAGAAAAGGCACAATGACAGATTTACCAGCATAAAGTCAGAGTGGAGCCCTTTGATTCAGGTAGTCTGGGTGGGAGTCCTGGCTCTACCAGTTTTTTTTATCTGAGTGATCTATTGTACTAGCATTTATCTTAATCCTTTTTCCTCAATGGTACAATTAGAGTCAGACAGTCCTTTTTTCCTGAGTTAGGTGAAATATTTTGCACAGTGTTTCACTGGGTTACATAAAATGTTTAACATGATTCTTGGCACATGCTGCAATCAACAGATGTTAGTTACTGGATTTTTCTGATGACCATAGAGTTTACAGAATATTAGTCCTGGAGGAGACCTTAGACATCGTCTAGTTTGAGGGTTGAGCAAGCAGCTATGCAGACAGTGCTTAGAGCAGTATCTTAACTAAAAACCTCACCATTATGAGGCCTGGCTGGGTGGGCAAATAGGTTTGAGCATTGTCCCCTTACACCTAGGTGTTGTGGGTTCAATTCCCGGCTGAGGCTCATATGGTAGCCCATCAATGTTTTGCTCACATATTGATGTTTCTCTCTCTTAAAAAAAGTTAATAAAAATATATCTTTGAGTGAGGATTAAAAAACACACACAAGCCGGGACCGATTTGGCTCAATGGATAGAGCGTCGGCTTGGGGACTGAAGGGTCCCGGGTTCGATTCCGGTCAAGGGCATGTACCTTGGTTGCAGGCATATCCCCAGTAGGGGGTGTGCAAGAGGCAGCTGATCGATGACTCTCTCTCATCGATGTTTCTAACTCTCTATCTCTCTCCCTTCCTTTCTGTACAAAATCAATAAAATATATTTAAAAAATAAATAAATAAAACACACACACACAAGACCTGTTTATGAAACATGTATAGTCCCTAACATTATACTTTCCAAAGACTAAACAGCTAGTGAGGTTAAAACACACACACACACACACACACACCATTTTAAAGAAAACATAAATGGAAAGATATTGATAGTATATTGTTTAATGAATATGTTGACTATATCAAAGACACCTTAAGACTAGAGAATTAACTTGCAGGACAAGTGAGGGAAACAATCCAAACTTTGTTTGTTTGTTTGTTTTTTTAATGGTGCAACTTTATTGTCTTGTCAGGGAAAGCAAAACTCTGAGGAAGTGACATTTATTTATTTGTTTATTTATTTATTATTTTTATAATATATTTTTATTGAGTTCAGAGAGGAAAGAAGAGGGAGAGAGTTAGAAACATCAGTGCTGAGAGACAATCATTGAACTGCTGCCTCTTGAACCCCCCTCACTGGAGGATTGAGCCTGCAAGCCAGGCAGGTGCCCAGACTGAGAATTGAACCATGACCTCATGGTTCATAGGTCGATGCTCAAGTGCTGAGCTACGCCGCTGGGTGCAAACAAGTTTCTTTCTAATTGATTTAAACTTGGCAAAACTCGTATAATAAAAGAGTAATTAAAAGCCAAGATCATGGCAAACCAAGTGAATAAGCATAGCATATATTGTCAGGTTTTAAAGATTAAAAATCCAAGAGATTACTTGCTGAATGTTTATGTTTACTGAATCTTAAGCATGCCAACATTTCTGCTGTAAGTCATAAACTTAGGAGCCAGTCAGCAACTCCTAGAGAAACAGGTTCAGAGACCTGTGGGCATGAGTTTACCTGCTATTTCTAAAAAAAAAAAAAATATATATGTGCCTTTGGATTGACTATCGGGTCCAATTCTTCATATTTTTATTTGGGGAAGGTAAGAAAGGGAGCAATATCAGGGATCCTGGAAAATTTTAAGATGTATATATTTTTGAAAAGTTAGAATAGGAATGGTCATTACAATAACAAATAGTCAAGTAGTGAAACATGTTTTCAGATGATCTCTCATTTAAAATAAAAACCTTTGTTCTTTTCAGCGACCTTTGGCCCTGGGAGCTGATATCTGTATGTATTCAGCAACAAAATACATGAATGGTAAGACATGCAGCATCTACACTTTGAAAGTTCTTTTCCATGAATCAATGAAAATAGTGTATGGTGGCTAGTTTTGACACTTTTGATCCCTATTCTTCCACTGTTATTTAGATTTTTCTCTGTGACTCATGTCGCAAGTAAAAAAATTACACTTTGATTAAATATAAGACTTCATTTATAATACTAGTACTAATAGTACTCGTGATTTATGAGCAGAGGATTAAAATTTACTATAATATAATATACTTTCATCCTGCTTACAGGTTTAAAAGGAACATTTACTTTTTATATGATTTTAATTATATTATTTGAGTATAGCTTTTGCTATTATTATAAAATAAAGTTTATTTAAATTTATTTCAGAAGGCTTTTTTCCAGAGTTCTCTTAAGTGAAAGTCACATTCTACAAATTATAAATTGAAATAAAAACACATTGTTTTTAACCTAACCGTGTTCGTTTTGTCTTAGGCCACAGCGATGTTGTAATGGGCTTAGTGTCTGTTAACTCTGAGAGCCTCCATGATAAGCTCCGATTCTTGCAGAATTGTGAGTATTTAAAAAATCTGGATTATTTTATGGTCTCAGAGGATCTACATTTAATCTTTGTATTTCCACTAAATGTTGTAAAGTGATAGCATTCTATTAATTTAGAAAGAAATCAGGGGAAAAAAATTGGGTATTTAGAGGAAAATAGGGTTATAAAGATTTAGTTATAGCATAATGGGTCTTTACAGCATGACACACAGGATGAGTTGTGTTATTTTTCAAATTCATGTTAATTTTGATCATAATGTGGTTAAAGCTAAAGTGGATTTTTAGTTTTAAGACTCAATGGATTTTTTTTTCTTTTCTTTAAACACCAACATTTGGTGTGATGGCTTTCTTATACTTTTTATATCTGAAATGGTGGTGAATTTTAAATAGCACATAAGATATAAACATAATTTTCATCAGATGTCTGTCTACATATCTCTTCATGGTTCGATTGTTTAGTTATCCCAGGATAGATAGGAGTTATTTTTAAGAGACTTGGATTAGTTATTACAGTTTGACAAACACATAAGATACAAACATAATTAGGGATACAAATGCCCTTTTAGGAAGTACATACTGAAATAACAAAAGGAGGCTCTGAGGAGGAAGCTAAAACTTACTGCTTGATAAGTTTCATTTGTAAAATGTCAGAGTGTGGTCTATATCCTGGAGGCATGTAAAGTCATAGGCTGCTTTAGACAAACGCTGAATACACAACCATAGAACATTCAGTAATGACAGGAGCTGAACTGTTTTTTTTCTCTATATCTTGTAATATTTTTTCAAAGAAATAAAAGTCTCAGCTCTGTGCAGTATGCCATTGTATTAAAGTCATAGAAAGGACTGTTTATGTTCATATTCAAAAAGTTGCTGTTGTTTGTACATAATTTTCAGGATATTCCTTTCCCTTCTCATTTTAAAGCCCATTCCTCTAAGCATAAATTATGCTCCATTCTCATGCTTCTGATTTGAGACATTAACCCCCCAAAACACACACACACACACACACACACACAAACAAAACAAAACAAACACACACGCACACACAAAAAAAACACACAACAACTCTCAGAGACACTATCATGAAAAAGAAGGGTCAGAAAATGTTGGGGGTACCTACCCACCTTCAACACTAACCTAGGATATGTTTATTTTTGCAGCAATTGGGGCAGTCCCCTCTCCTTTTGACTGTTACCTCTGCAATCGAGGTCTGAAGACACTACAAGTCCGAATGCAGAAGCATTTTGAAAATGGAATGGCAGTTGCTCAGTTTCTGGAATCACATCCTCTGGTGGAAAAGGTTATTTATCCGGGTAGGTTAGTCTGATTTCTAAGCACATATTCGTGGGACTGTAAGGCTTATCCTAAGCATCCTGTGTATGTAACATTTATTTGTAAGTTAGGTGCTTTCATATAGTTTCATGTTGTTCATTGATTATTGAATGCTGCTGGGTATCAGGTCTGTGGTGGTTCTGGTGGCAAAGAAAATAGACATGATCTATGGCCTTGTGTTGCCTCGTGGATGCTTGGATGTTAAGAAATTAGTCTTGCCCAGCGGGGGTGGCTCAGTGGTTGAGCGACGACCTATGAACCAGGAGGTCATGGCTCGATTTCCCGGTCAGGGCACATCCCAGCCAGGGCACACTCAATCTCCAGTGTGGGGTGTGTAGGAGGCAGCCGATGATCAATTATTCTCATCATTGATGTTTCTATCTATCTCTTCCTCTTCCTTCCTCTCTGAAATAAAAAAATTTAAAAAACCATTAAAAAAAGAAATTAGTCATATGCATTAGAGCAGCAATTTTCAACCTTTTAAATCTCATGGCACTTATAAATTAATAACTAAAATTCTGCAGAGCACCAAAATATTTTTTTCTACTTTTTGTCAATCTGACCAAAAAAAAAAGTACAATTTTGATTCATTTATACCGGACAGTTATTGTTGTTGTTATTTTTTTAAAATTTAATATATTTTTATTGATTTCAGAGAGGAAGGGAGAAGGAGAAAGAGATAGAAACATCAATGATGAGAGAGAATCATTGACCAGTTACCTCCTGCAAGCCCTCTACTGGGGATCAAGTCCCCAACCCAGGCATGTGTCCTGCCTGGGAATCAAACTGTGAACTCCTGGGTCATGGGTCGATGCTGGTCACTGAGCCACACTGGCCGGGCCATTAGCTCTTAACTTTTTTCTGCTTTAGGTTGGAACTTGATACATCTCTATTACTTACACCCATCAACCCCCCCCCAAAGTTCTCTTCCCTTTTGAATTCCTTCACATCTAACAACCTGAAGAAATGCTCATGTGGAGTTAACAGACATACATGTTACTATTTGAATCTATTTTGCCAATGATTTGAATTGTGGTGGTCTTAAGTAAATAACTATCTTAAACTCTTAGAAACATCTAGCCATGTATTCTTAGGTATACAGGAGAATTAAGCCTGATTTCTACCCTCAAAGAACTTTAATAAGCCAAGGCAAAAATACAAGGTGGGCAAAAGTAGGTTTATAGTCATGACTACATGAAACACAGAATTTATTCTTATATTATTATTTATTAATTATTATATTATTTTTCCATAGAGTCACTGTAAACCTACTTTTGCCTCATCCTGTATCTGTGCTAGTAAGTGCCCTCTATGTACCCCACATAAAGTGGTGTACATTTTGAATTGAAGGAAGAGAGAAATGTTTTGAGCTGTGAACTGAAGAATGAATAGCATTTGTTAAAAAGGCTTGGACAAGGCATTTCAGGTTCATTCAGTAAATATTAATTTCCAACTAAGGATCAACTTTGTACTAGCAACTGGAATCCAATTACCAACAAAAGAAAAAGATTTCTTATGGAACTGTTTGGAAGCCCAGAGACAGGCACCACGTGTGAGATTGGTTGGTCAGACTGGATCTGGATTCACCGACCTTGGTACTTGAGTTCAGGCTAGGAAAGAATTCAGAGCCAAGACTCAAACTATAAGAGAACATTTATTTAGTAAATTACAGAGGTAGAAGTAATTCATAGAAGAAATGGGCTGAAGAAACAAGTTATAGAGACAAAGGAAGGGCCCTTGGAGCTTGTGAGTGAGGAAGTTAAAGGTGATGCGAGTTGGGGAGGGGAAGGGAAAAAGCCTGGGCATGCTCCCGGTAGGAGAGCGAGCTGGGTTCTCTGTCTTAAGGGTGTTAAGGATGGAGATTTTAGGGGAAGATCTCAATAGAATATTCAGCAGCTCTCCGGGTGTGTCCTTTCAGGGTCAGGTTCTCCACTGATTGGCTGGTCAGTGCCAGGGCAGCGGGTCATTATGCAATGCAGCTGGCCTTGGTATTGCTTGTCTGGTTTTGCTGTTTTTCTGGGCCAGAAGCTGACATACAACTGAGGCCTAGATGTTATCTGTAGGGACAAAAGGTCAGGGGGTCCAAACCACTTGACCAGGATGACCTTTCCTGGTATGACGTCGTCCCACCCTGCAATTGTCCTTTTTGCAGCCACCCAGGGCTTTCTGCTCTGGTGACCTGTGTACCTGGCCCATCGTCCTTGCTCTGCTCATGTTTGTCTAACTGTTCATGATAGAACTATGTTGGTGAATAAGACAAATATTAAGCAGGACAATAAAGAAGGATATAATTAACAAGGGGTAGGGCAGTCAGTGTAGAGAATGTTGCAGGCAAAGGTCCTATTGATAACCAGAACAGTGAGTGATTTAAGCAAAAGCGTGGAAAATATATTACAAGCAGATTCAGACTCCCCTTACGGGAAGGGGGAGGGGGGTGCCCAATAATGGGCTGCCCCCTCAGGTCTTATAGTCCAGGGCTATATAATTGCTACTTGCCTGCTTCTATATCATCACCTGATTGATTCCCTCAGTTGTTCTTGCCCAGCAATGGACCTGAATTTTTCACTTCTACGTGTTCTTCCTCTGTCTCTATGCTAAACTTGATCTGTTTCTATGTGTTCTTTCTTTGTCCCTATGCTGTACTTTCTATATGTTCCTACAGGCCCTCCCCTGTTTTCCCATGGCTCCTGCTTTGAGTCCAGAAACATTTTAAAATTTCTGCTTGATTCTTTCCTGTGGTGAGGCTGGCTCAAACTGCCGTGTCTGCCCCTGCCTATGTTCCACCTGCCTTTGCTTTCCCCTGGTCCCTTGTCCTATCTGTGTTTCAAACTAACCCTCTCGCTGAGGTGAAAATAGAGTGTGTTACTTCCGGTGTAAAGAAAGCTGGTGTGGCTAGAGCATGGAGAGTAAGGAAAAGCCATAGAAAGGAAGCCAGGGAGAGAAAGACGGGGCCCTGAACAAGCAGTCCGCTGAGACCATCGGGAAAGCTCACGATTAGGCTTATTTGTAGTTGACTTGAGCAAACTGATTTTTTTGCTTTGTTTCAAAATTACTTGTTGGACTCTAAAATAAGACTTTATTACAGGGCTGCCCTCTCATCCTCAGCATGAGCTGGCAAAGCGTCAGTGCACAGGTTGCCCGGGGATGATCACCTTTTATATTAAGGGCGCTCTTCAGCACGCTGAGGCTTTCCTCAAGAACCTCAAGGTAAGCTTTCAAAGCAGGTATTACATTTTAGAGGTAAGGCCTTCTTACGGCAGTTTATTATCTCTCACTTCCACCCAACTCAGATGAATGTTTTTGTACCTGCAAATCACACCTACAAACCTCTTTATCATGAAATGCATCGGGTTAGAAAATGGCTTTGGTGCGGTAGCAGATAATCTGAATATGTGTATTTATTTAGCTCTCCAGAGACTGCCATCAATTTGAGAGAGACGGGATGTTCTAGCGCATAGGTTTTCAAGTTTATTTAAAAGTAAACCCCTTCTCCAAATGAAATATTATGTGAGACCTCAAAGTAAGGTGCTGTTAGTGCAATGCCCGAGCCCAAGAGTGGCTTTCCAAACCCTATGGCCCTCCAGGCTGCATCCGCCTGGAGTGAGGGAAGGGAGGCCTGTGTCTGATTGCACATTGGCAGCAAGTTCTCAGGGGCCCATGGAGAGTCCTTCATAACCACACACTGAGCTTTCATTGCAGTAGAGTGAGTTTTAAATACTATCAGTATATATCAAATTACAGAGGGGAGTGGAGGGAGATATGGGGGAGATAAGAGATCAACCAAAGGACTTGTATGCATGCATATAAGCATAACCAATGGACGGAAAAACTCTCGGGAGGGAGGGCATGTATGGGAGTGAGGAGGGCAATGGTAAGATAAGTACCTTAATAAAAAATAAAAAATAAAAATAAATAAAAAAATAAATACTATTGGTATAAAGAATAGGGTGCTAACAGATTCATCAAAGCCCTACTGGTCCATCTCTGAAATCAGAAAAATAGTAGTGTGTATTTAATTTAATACGGCTGTGAGAGTAATTTTTAAAATATTTATAAAATTCTTTGCTACTAAAACACTAAATACCCAAACTGATTTACTCTTTCTTCTATTCCAGGGGGGCAGTTTATTGGATGTATTAATTTAATAAGTGATGCATACTAACAAATAAGTGCTTAAACATTTAGATATTTTTCTTTAAAGGATAACTGTAACCAGACAATCAATGGGTCTACAGTGTCTGTAACTACTTGAGCCAGTTAAGCAGAGAAAGGGTTGAATTATCCACAAAAATCTGCTCTGCAGCCCGCCCCCCCCCCCTCCCGATAAACCAACTGCTTATATAGGGTAGGACAAGGATTACATGGGGAAGTAGGGATTACAGGAATGGGGAAGTAGGAAGTGAGGGATGGGACTCCATTGTTTGGGCTACAAGGTTGTTAGTCCTTCCATGATAATCGGCAGGTCTTGAATGAGAATGGACTGCATTCCAAGATTGTCTACCTGGTCCAAGGTTGACTCTCAGGTTCCAGGGACACACAGCTCCCAGCCAGAGTAGACTGTCCTTTCTTTTAACCAGAACAAGGCAATCATGGTTAACAGAGCATGATTAATACTTCCCATAACCATAACTAGTCCCCAATATTCTTTGTGCCCCTAACATAATCACAGAGCTAGGTCTCAAATGTAGTAATTCTGAGGTTTTAGAGCTCAGTTAATTAGGTATAGGTGATTCACCCTTATCAACTTTTAATGTTGTAAAAGTTTATACATAATATGTCTAATTAATGAAATCATTGTTATGTAATCTATTCTCATTTTTTTCTCTCTGACTTTCTTGGCCAATTATCATTATCACTTATTTCCCATCCTCTGTCCCAGGGGCATTTGATTAAAAACATTTACTTTTAAATATTCATTTTTTTATTTTGGTGGAAGCTCTAAATTAATATTTTCTTTGCTATAGTTATTTACTCTGGCTGAGAGCTTGGGAGGATATGAGAGTCTTGCTGAGCTTCCGTAAGTATGTTTTTCTCTTTCATAGCATTTTAACTTTGATGTCAGTTTTAATGATCACTTGATAAAGAAATGTGATAAAACCAGAAATAATTCAAGATATTTAATGATCAGAAGATCACGGTACTATTTAATCAGAATGGATTCTAACTCAATAGAATGGAGACTGATGAAATCTCAAGGAGGCAACTTATCAGTGTTTTCTGGAATTTACCTCCAGGCCTGTTCTGTCTGAAGCACATTCTAGCAGTAATTGTATGTTGGGCTTTCCGCCTTTGGCCCAGGACTTGTTCCATCCCACTCCACCCTGGAAGGGAGATGGAGATTTCGTCCTGGAAGGGCTGATTTCAAGGCTCCTTGGGAAATGGGGAATGTTTTCTCTGATGAAACACCTCAAAAGGTCCGAAGAGGGCCCAGCTAGCTATCATCAGATATCTAAGAAAAGATTTCAATCAAGGACATTGTAGGAAAGCAAGCAAGAATTTATTGGCTGCACCAAACACACGTAGGACAGTGAAACAAGGAAGGGCATAGGAGAAGCAACAGGAGAGCCTAGGTTGGGCTTCTTTGGCTCATTGGGAAATCAGAGAAAAGGGGCCCTGGGGACAGGGTCAGAGGGTTAGCCTGGGACGAGCTGCTACTGCCCTTTGCTCTCCTAGTTACAAGTCTCTTGGGGCCCCTTGGAGTTTAGGAGATAGGTGCCTGTGGGGGGAGGAGGGGATGTGGCACCTTATTTTACAGACAAGGAAACAAAGATTCAAAAAGTTTTGCTAATCCCTCAAATGTCACATGGGAATATGTTAGGAACTTAATTTTTGAGGCTTTGCAATGATGGGGAGATAAAAGCAGCCTCACATCTAAAGTTGATGCCTATTCTACCAATTACTTAACCTTTAAGCTTCAATTTTTTTTTATCCATATAATGGGCTTAATATTTGAAATAATGATTTATTGATTACCCATCTCATCAAGCATTCTTGAATTATATCCCGACTTCACTGTATGTTACCATGACCATATGTTGTAATTATTGCGGTGGTCAATCAACAACATTGCCTAATAATTTTCAACTGCTTGTGTGTTTTAATTTCCATAAACATTTCTGGAATAACTATGTTCTGGAAGCATTGTACTGAGGGAGTATTAGAGATTACCAAAATTTGGGCACATTTTCTGCTCTCTCATCGTAGTGTACAGTTTCTGAGTAGAGTTAGGCAATTTCGCAAAGTTAAAAAGAAGAAATGATGTCACCCCAAAATGACTCAGGTAATTAAGATGACACTTAGAGATTTTGATAGTCTTTCCAGATTTTGCCTGTTAAGTCTGGATGTATTATACAAGAGGCACACTCAGCATACAAAATTGGGTTATTTTTTCATAGTAATGAAATGTGTATTGTTTTAAGGCGAGTCTTAAACCTCTCCTGATTTGTTTAGGGATTTGGTTTAAAGTTGCTTGGCCCTCAAACGGTTCTGCAAGGCCATAACCCTGCTGCCTGTAGAGGAGCGAATCTAGGTCAGAGCTTGCCTGTTCTATCACCCTCCTCTGTGTCTCCCAACTTGGCTGCAACTAGTGCAGCATGGCAATAAGGAAGGAGGAAGCAGAGCCAGGGTGCACTGGGTTGGTCTCCCAGCCTGAAGACATGTATTCATTTTTTGACCTTAAAAAAATTGTTTATCCTCTCTCAACCACAGTTTTCTCCATTGTCAAATGTGGTATAATACTGTGCCATGCTCTTAGGGTTATTGTGAGAACATGGGGGAAAATAGAGCCTCAGCTAATGCCGTGGTTCATATTAAGTGCTCAGTAAATTCTAACTACTCTTACAGATTATTTTTTATTGGGCTTTTACTACATCACTATATTGCACATACATCCCAGGTACATGTAAGTGCTTTTATATGTTCCTTCCATTAAGGACTGTAACACACTTTTGAGATCGATGTTATATCCAATTTTTATCTATTAAAATTAAATTAATGCACATAAATGACCTACGGTACCTGTTTTATGAGAAACATACAATAAGTGATAGCTAATATTATTTCAGATAAGGAAATGGCCTCTGAGGACAGGTAAGTTTTACAAGCCCACACAGCCAGTATGTGGAGGGGCTGAGATTCATACCCACGTCTATTGGTCTCAGAGGCGTAAGTTCTTATTTCTACCTGAGCACACTCTGTTAAAGAATTAAGAGCCTGGAAAGGCAGAGCATTTTAAGGAGGATGTTTACATGTAAAACTTAGAGTAGTGAAAGAAGATATCCATTTACTTTGACCATGACTTATATTTTCTTTCCATGGGCCTGAAGTGAGGTAGGAGAAAGCAGCTTAGGCATTGATTTTATTGGCAGTGTTTGGGGAAAGGTTGAGTGTGGGTGGCAATGTGAATATTAGAGTTCAGGAAACTGGTTTGGCTCAGCGGTAGAGCGTCAGTCTGCGGACTGAAAGGTCCCAGGTTCGATTCCGGTCAAGGGCATGTACATTGGTTGCTGGCACATCCCCGGTAGGGGGTGTGCAAGAGCAGCTGTTCGATATTTCTCTCTCATCGGCGTTTCTAGCTCTCTATCTCTCTCCCTTCTTCTCCGTAAAAAAATCAATAAAATATTTTTAAAAAAGAGTCCCAATTTAGAAGAAGAAGAAGAAGAAGAGGAGGAGGAGGAGGAGGAGGAGGAGGAGGAGGAGGAGGAGGAGGAGGAGGAAGAGGAGGAGGAGGAGAAATAATAATAATAATAATAATAATAATAATAATAATAATAATAGAGTTCAGGAAGACTATAAGCCCCTCTGTAATGCCTCAGCCCACAGAGATCTCCCTCCTCTGAACTCTGGCAGGCCTTGTTTTCATACGGATTTGTGTCGACTATTCTGTTTTGTGAATTGTTCATAGTCTTTAGCTCCTGCTTTGTTATCTAGGATAAAGAAGATATCTCATTCTTCTTAGTTTGCTAACTCTTACTATAATACCTAACCCATAGTAGGTGCTTTGCCTTTACACTGGGTTGTGTGCCAGAACTTCTAATGCACACTGACTGTTACTAGTGATCCTGGATTGCCTTTTCCAGATCTGTCTCAGAAGGTCCAGTTCTGGATTGATTCATTGATCTAGAAGAAATTAATTCTGATTGGCTCTTGGTCCCAGATGCCTTTTGTAAATTCAGCTGGTTGGTCATGGCATATGGTTTCTGGCCAAGGTCTCATTCAGGCAAGGTATTAAAATTTACACACTGGAGGCTATGTCTTTCCCTACTGTATGGCACCTTCAGTGTCTGGATTGAGTGTACCTTACTGATGCTATATAAAAAAAAAAAGTTTGGATTTCACTTAAATGACTAGAAAAGATAATATTAACAATTCTTTTTTTTTTGCCTATAAAAACTATAAGTGTATGAAGAATTTTATATTTAGAGTAGAAGAAATTGGAAGATAATTGCAACTTAAGATTCAGAATATGCTTCCATTGATATAATATAGTAGTAAAAAATGTGCTCACTCTGGGCCCAGCCAGTGTGGCTTAGTGGTTGAGCATTGACCTATGAACCAGGGGTGTCATGGTTCAATTCCCAGTCCAGGCACATGCCTGAGATGCAGGCTTGAGTCCCAATAGGGGGCCAGGGGATGCTAGGAGACAGCCGATCAATGTTTCTCTCTCATTGATGTTTCTCTCTTTTTCTTCCTTCCTCTCTGACATCAATAAAAGTATACATTTTTTAAAAAAATTTTGCTCATTCTTCCTTCCAGGGCAATTATGACCCATGCATCAGTGCCTAAGGGCCACAGAGATACCCTTGGAATTAGCGATACGCTGATTCGACTCTCTGTGGGCTTAGAGGATAAAGAAGACCTAATGGGAGATTTAGATCAAGCTTTGAAGGAAGCGGTAAGTTTTATTACTTTAGTGTTTGTGGGTGTGTGTGCATGAAAGTGGTGCTTAATCTTGGGGCTGGGGCTCCTATTTATAAAGAGAGGGCTTGCTATGAATGCTTAAAGGTTTTTCTATTCTCTTCCTACAATAAACAGAGTGTATAAATGTGCATGGAACGTAGTCGAAGTGCAGATTTAAAAGATGGTAGTATTCAGGAAACAGTCCTTAGGGGAGCGGAAGTCATTGCCAGCATATTAAATAACCTGTTTTTCTTGTGCACTGTTTTTACAGCACCGTCCAAATGCACGTTGAACCTAGCATACCAGAACTGCTATTAGAAGTTGCTTCCTGAGAGATCAAATATTCTGAATGATCAAATGGACCGTTAATGAACTTTTATAGATTTTCAAGTGAAAATTTTAAGGCACCTCATTACCTTTCACACAACTGTAATCTTCCAGGGATCATCCCTGTTTTCCACAGTTTCCTCTTTCCCTTATTGTCATTGACAGGTCAATTCTGTTAATATCTTTTTGTTAATTTTTGGCATACATTTGCCTTTGAAGGAGGTGAAATTTGTGTTGCTTTTTGGGATTATTCTCTTCTTTTCATAGCATAAGGATTATATTGATAATGTTTACAACATAGTGATATAATTCACTTTTGATGTTTTCTGAAGAACTTAAATTATTACATGAATGTTTCTAAATCAAGTGTGATTTTTCATATTATTGAAAATAGCACTTAAAACAATGGTTTACACTTAATTACCATAAGCCAAAAATCACATGCCTGTAAAATCTACTGTGAAATTCTACTGGTTTACGATTGTGTTTACTGTATTTAAAAAAATAAATCTAATTATCAAATCCATTCCATTGTGATGTTTCTATATTATGTGAAATTAACTTGGATTCCTGAGCTCTATGATTCTTATCTCTTATGTTAATTTTTACCAATTCAATTATAGAACTATCATACCCAAATCTTAGTGTTTGCAGATTAGTTACAAATTCTGTACATAGAAGGTCAAAAGCCACTTTCATAGACAGAAATAAAATACCTTTTTAGATTTTTATCTGAAACAGTAGGTTTGTGAGGCTAAAGGAAGAAATGTGTTAAACAGTCTTTTATAGTTGAAATGCATAACAAGTTATTGTCAACAAGTCATAAGTCAAATAGATTTTTAAAATTATTTTTATGCCAAAAGCTTTCAGTCATTTATTTGCTACCGCCATTTGTTTCAGTGTTTTTTAAAAAAAGCGTACAGTATTGAACTTGATTAATAATAGTGCTGCATAGGAGAGGAATTCATACTAACACACATTCTTACGTATTACCCACATTCTGTATAGTCTGGAAATTATGTCTACAGGCAGCAGCATTTGAGGCAGCTCATATCTCACGATGGTTTCTAGCAGGCCTGATTTCTTGCCTTCTCAGGACCATAGGGCTCTGGAAATAAACAAAGACTCAGCGAAATAAGAAAAGCAAAGACTATTCTGAGTTTGCAAGGGAGTCAGCTACTGTTACTTGTGTTTTGTCAGAGACTTAAAGGCAAGCAGAACATGAGGAATTGTAGAAATTTTTAATATTGATACGGATGGATGAGAAACTAAAACTTCCATATTTAAAATTGTCAGATAAATAACATTAACTCACTGTTAGAAATCAAAAAAATAAAAAAAGACTAAAAGCACCAAAGCAGACAGGAGTGGAAAAGCTTTAGAGTGTCCAAAAGGAAAGGTTTCAGATATGCCCTGATCCGGAGCTGTGCTGGCGTTTGGGAAGCTGTTGGTAGCTACTTTGAAGTGGAACATCCTGCGTGATCGGTTAGAGCCGTGGTCAGTAAACTGCGGCTCGCGGGCCACATGTGGCTCTTTGGTCCCTTGCGTGTGGCTCTTCCACAAAATACCACGGCCTGGGCGAGTCTATTTTGAAGAAGTGATGTTAGAAAAAGTTTAAGTTTAAAAAATTTGGCTCTCAAAGAAATGTCAATCGTTGTACTGTTGATATTTGGCTCTCTTGACTAATAAGTTTGCCGAACACTGGGTTAGAGGTACACATTTGGCTTTCTTGAGTTTTTCCTTATTCAAAAGCAGGGGCAAATATTAGGGAAGTTGTCAATTATTAGTCAAGTTTTGGCCATTTGGAGCTGATTGTTATAGGAGGGATTGTTTAGCTTCCTGGATTGTCACTAGAAATAGAAATAGATTTTCAGCAAGGCTTATTTGTAGATGTGTTTCCGGGAAACCCCTGGTTGGGCTTGGGCTGCCTGTCACTGCCTGTCACTGAATCATATAAGGCGTTTATTGAGAAGGCCAGCCAACTAAGAAGACAGGTTGCTTACACGCATTCAAATCCTGTCTTACAGTAAGGCGCAGGGGACAGGATTACAAAGGGGAAGGGTCTAGGGTGATGCTGGGAACAGAATGCAGCTACATGCAGTCCTGGAGGTCCCCAGCCTTGTCCTTAATCATCAGGCGATGAGATGATATTTTGACTGACTCCTGGTGGGTTGTTCTAACCATGCTTATTGGTTCAGCTTGCTGGATTCACAGCTGAGTCACCTCCCTAATGTCTTCACACAGCTCTTGTAAAAGAAACTTAAAAACTTAACCTTCTATTCACATACATATATGTATTCTAAGATTTAAAATAATATGATTACTTTTCAGATTAATTCAGATGCTCTATCTTATCAGTTTATAAATCCCCTATCAGATGTGGGAGTTAGTTTTCCGGGGAAGTTGCAGTAATTGTGCATTAAAGTTCTATTATATATAAATGGTCTATCCATTGTCTATCTGTATATTCAGTCTTATAAGTAACTAGCTACCATTCTATTAGGGTTCTCCAGAGAACAAAACCAATAGGATATGTGTGTGTATGTGTGTGTGTGTGTGTGTGTACATATACATATATGTGCATATGGAGAGAGATTGATTTTAAGAAATTGGCTCATGACTGTAGGGGTTGGTAAGTGAAATTTATCGGAGTGGGGGTAGAGGTTGGAGACTGGAAATTCACATAAGAGTTTTGCAATCTGAAGGCAGAATTGTTTTTTCTTTGGGAAACCTTGGGCTTTGCTCTTAAAGTCTTCAATTAATTAGATGAGGCCAACCCACAATCTATAGCTTGATCTCCTTTACTGATTTAAATGTTAATCACATCTAAAAAATGCCTTCACAGCAACATCTAGATTGACGTTTGACCAAAGAGCTAGGGTACCAAACCTACCAGTGGTCGGCAAACTGCAGCTTTCGAGCCACGGTTTGCCACTCTGTTGGCTAATGAGATTGCCGACCACTGACCTTGATTATCCATTCCAATAATTACAGGCTGTTGTTATTCCTTATGATTAGCCCCTATTCCAGTGGTCAGGAAACTCATTAGTCAACAGAGCTGCAAACCTCAGCTCTTGAGCTGCATGTGGCTTGCGAGCCGCAGTTTGCTGACCACTGACACATAAAATTAACCATCCTGTTATAGGCATTGTTCCTTACTGCCTGAGAAAGCACCATTGTGTTTATTAGGATTTATGAAGTTTATCTGTAGCTTTTGTTTCTGTTCAGGCAGTATCTCTCTCCATTAGCATAGTTTACAGCAGGATGATGATTCAGTGGTTAAACACTGTACCACTCACCCCTGCCTACTTTTTAAAACATCTGCCTTTGTAGAGGAGAATATAACTGGACAGCCATGCCCTGGTCACATTAAATGAGGTCAGGCTTCCAGGACACTGCTTTTACTGAGTTGTTTTATTTAACACACTAGTGGCCCGGTACACAGATTTGTGCACATTGAAAGGAACTTAATTAGAAGAAAGATTCATTGTTAATTACTGCAAAAAAAAATTACATCAAAATATATATAATGTAGTATCATAAAATTAAAATACAAGATATTTTAATATTACTATTCACTCTGTAATGGAAGTGTCAGATGAAAGGAAATTAGTAAAAGGTATATGAACTATATAAATTGATTAATAAATAATAACAAGATGACATAAAAACAACAAAGAAATTATATAAAAATAAAAAAGTGATATAAAAACATTGATAAAAACAATGGTTGATAAATTGATGAATAAATAACAACATGATTTAACAACAACAAAGACGATATAAAAACAACAAAAATATGATATAAAAACAACATTGATAAAAAACAGTGACTGACCCTAATCGGTTTGGCTCAGTGGGTAGAGCATCAGCCTGTGGACTGAAGAGTCCCAGCTTTGATTCCAATTAAGGGCATGTACCTTGGTTTTGGGCACACTCCCAGTAAGGGGTATGCAGGAGGCAGTTGATCAATGTTTCTCTCATCAATGTTTCTAACTCTCTATCCCTGTTCCTCCCTCTCTGTAAAAAAAAAAAAAAAAAAAAAAAAAAAAAAAATCAATAAAATATATTGAGAAAAAACAAAACAAAACAATGACTGATAAACAAATGTTTATTTTTTAAACTAGAACCCAGGCCCACAACATTCGTGTATTGGGGAGAGGGAGAGGAGTCCCTCAGCCTAGCCTGTGCCCTTTCGCAGTCCGAGAGCCCTTGAGGGATGTCCAACTGACAGCTTAGGCCACAGTCAGACCCTTAGTGCTGCTGCTGCAGAGGCGGGCCGCTGTGCTCACCAGCCGTTAGCCTGCCTTGTGGCTGAGCAGCACTCCCCCTGTGGGAGTGCACTGACTACCAGGGGGAAGCTCCTGCATTGAGTGTCTGCTCCCTGGTGGTCAGTGCACATCATAGTGACTGGTCGTTCTGCTGTTCGGTTGATTTGCATATTACCCTTTTATATATAGGAAGGATTACCAGTACTCATCATATGTACTGGCCAGCCAGTTGGATGTACAGTCAGTCACCTAGCCTTTTACTAGTATGTGTGTGTATATATATATATATATATATATATATATATATATAATTAAAAATTCCATTCTACCCTTGTGCTTACTACATTCATTGTTGAAATTCTGAGTGAAATTAACCTCACAACAAAGTCAGTGTGTACTATTTTTTAAAAATATATTTTATTGATTTTTTTTACAGAGAGGAAGGGAGAGGACAGAGAGCTAGAAACATTGATGAAAGAGAATCATCGATCAGCTGCCTCTTGCACACACCCTACTAGGGATGTGTCCGCAACCAAGGTACATGCCCTTGACTGGAATCGAACCTGGGATCCTTCAATCCGTAGACCAATACTCTATCCACTGAGCCAAACTGGTTTCAGCAAGTATGTACTATTTTAAATAGATATACTGCATCATGTTTATTTTATAACTAGTAGCCCTGCACATGAATCCG